CTACATGTCTTGCCCAATCCCCCTTGCTGCTACTCTAGTCTCTTTCCTCTATTGATTATCTCTAATTTAACCTGTGTATATCTTATTTGTACAGAACTGTTTGCATGTTGTTTCCCCCATTAGACTGTGAGCTTCTCAAAGGCAGGGACTATCTCTTACCTTTCTTGGTATCCCCATCACTTCACCCAGTGCCAGGCACCTAGCAGGCACTTAATAAATGCTCACTGACTAACATTTGCCTTGTTACTTTCCCTGCCAGAATCTAAGTAACAGCAGCCTCTCCATCTGCTTTGAACTGAACATGAATGTGAGTTAAGCCTTCCTTTCTTGTGTTATCTCCCCCAATGAGAATGTAAGCTCCCCTTTACCACTGCATTCCAATAACTGATTTGGTAAGATGCCAACAGTGACAGGAGAGGATGGGAGCAAGGGCACAAGTAAAATGGCTAGACTTAGCAAGGAAAATGATCATTTCATCCTAGGAGACTACAGCAAAGAAGAGAGAACAGGGAATGACTTAATGAGACCTTAAAAGGTCAGAAAGGAGAGAAGGATGGCTTCAGTTTTCTCAGAAAGGTAGAAGGTAAAGTCATTCACTGATAGAGATGAAGGATGGGTGGTAGCTAGAAGATAGAGATGTTTAGAATAGCCAATGTATGGAGAATGAGCCAAGCAGGGAAGAATAAAAGGATTGCTTCAAAGCAGTAAAGACTCATTTGAGATGGCATAAATTTGGTAGCTGCAGAAAGGGGATTATATCAAGGTAGGGAGGAGAAGTTTGCTGGAGAGAAGAAATGTTCAATTCAATATTTATTAAGAACCTACTATGTGCCAGGCACTGTGCTAAGTACTGGGGATAAAATAAGTAAGATAGTCCCTGCCCTCAAGAAGTTTATTAATGGGGGAAGACAATGACAAAGCAAAGCTGAAAGGGGAGGTAGGGTGGCGGGTGGGCAGCAATAGGGCATGGTGTTCTATGGAGAAATGGGGCTTCAACTCTTCAGTGTCCTACGATAACACAGGGCTGGGTCAATTTGTTTTCTCTCAAACACAGTGGGGAGAAGGAGCTGATCTAGCAAAGAGATAAGCCAGCCTGGATATTTGAAAGTTGATATGTACTAGCGATCAGGTCATACAGGGGACTGACTGAACTCACATGCCATGCCAATTCCTCTTTATTCCAACATAGCAGGGAATGATGTATACCATAAGATATATTGCATACACATGCTTACATCCTGGGCAGGCCTGGAGTCTGAGGCCCTGAAGAGAGGGCTAGTGGCCTGATGCCTGGGCCCTAAAATGTTTCATTCATTCAGCATTTATTTAGCACTTGCAATGTGCCAGGTACTGTAAAGGGATAAAGAGACTGGACCTGTAAGATAAAATGAAACATGGCCACTGACTTCAATGACCTCATACTCCACTGGAGTACTGTGGGGACACAACACAAAAAGTTCTCAATCAGAAAGCCCCAAATAAGGGCTGGACTTGATATGTTTGTTGTTGTTTTAAATCTTAAATGGTGTATACTTTTTCACCACCAAATATAGGGTGTCCCAAAACTCTTTGTGGTGTTGTAAACTATTAAAGCTTTTACCTGCACTAAGACTTGTGGGACACCCTGTATGTATCTAAGGACTAATATTTCTGTGGTCCTTTAAAGTTCACAAAGAACTTCTATCAATCAAGCAGGCAACAGATATGTATTAACCACCTACTATGTGCCAAGCTAGGTGTTGGCACACAAAGAAAAAGAAACAGCTCTTGTCCTCAAAGAGCTCACATTTTGACAGGGAAAATGTGTACACTCCAAGTACATACAAAATACACATGTACACACACACGTATATGTATACCACTTACATTCATTTTTATTGGACCTATGATTTCACCAAGGAAAAATCTGCATTCTCTACCAATGCAGGGGGCATACCACAGACATGGAGAAGTTAATATGTGGCAGAGGAAAAGCTTGAAACCAGGTCTCCCTGGTTTTGAAGTTCTCTATCTTCCATGACACACTGCCTCTCCACATTAAAAAAAAAATACAAAATGCATATATACAAGATAATTTTTCATAGGATGGGCACCAGCAGCTGGGGGGGGGGATCAGGAAATGGTGTCATAGAAGGTGACACTTGAGCAGAGCTTTGAAGGAAATCAAGGATTCAAAAAAGTAGAGATGAAGAAAGACAAATATCCCAGGAACTAAGAGAGGAAATGTTATATATGAAGTACATAAATAAATTTCTCGTGTGGCTAAGACCACAGAGTATGGGAAAGGGACTAACATATACTCTCTCTGGAAAGGTAGATTAAGGCCAGCTTACCAAGACCTTTAAAGGTCAAACAGCCACGGTCAGTTTATTGAGGAATGACACATTCAGACCTTTGAGGTTCCTTATGGCTTGATGATCCTATGATAAAATCACTTGCCATACTTTATTTTCCCTTCTGCTTTCTCCAAAATTACCAATGATTTATTAATTGCCAAATCTGGCACACAGAGAAGGAATCTAGGATGGTAAAGGGTCTATAAGGATTGGTTGAAGGATATGGGAACATTTAACCTGGAAAACAGAAAATTTAGGGGGGAAAAGGATAACTGCCCTGAAAAGTTGAAAGGCTATTACAAGAAAGAAGTAGATTTATTCTGTTTGGTCCTAGAGGGCAGAACTGGGAATGGAAATCACAAGACAGATTCTGGCTCACAATTTATCAGCATTATCCCAAAGCAGAGTCAGGTACCTTCAGAATTTTTTGTTCTCTCCTTACCCTTCTCCAAACAAAAGGCAGATGCCCAAGGATCAGCCCCAAGATCCGCTCTGACTGAAATTCTGTGTGAAAATCACATTCCTACCATGATGGCCACAATGCTGACACTTAACACTAAGCCAAGATAAGGACCCAGTACAGTAAATAACAGCATGGTCATCTGACTTGAGGTCAGGGCTTCAAGGATCTGGGAAAACGAGCTAGAGAAGCATAATATGGCTGTTAATAAGAAATCAGTGTGGGATCTGGGAAGGTTTCATGTAGGAAGTGAGCTTAAGGGTTACACAGGTAGGAGAACCAGGACACAGTAGAGTGACAAATCCAGAGAAAAATATCAAGAAGAAAATTTGTCAAAGGCTACAGAGAGGTCTGAAAGAATGAGGATTGAGAAAAAGCCATTAAAGTCTACAATTAAAAAATAATTAGTATTATAGCTAGCATTTGTATACAGCTTTAAGATTTACAAAGGCGCTTTACAAGTACCTTATTTTATCTTCAGATCAACCCTGGGAGAAGGTAGTATTATAATCCTCATTTTACCAATGAGGAACTGAGGCAGGCAGAGATGAGTTAAGTTGTACACACAGCTATTAAGAATCTAAGGTTGGGTTTGAATCAGGTCTTCCTGATTTCCAGGGTCCAGTGCTCTATCCATTGAGCCACCTAACTTTTTGAGAGAGTAGTTTCAGTTGAATGAGGTAGGTGTGAGTGTACTTCAGGCATGAATGATAGCCAGTACAAAGGCATTACACATGAAGAAGAGCAAGAAGGACCACGCAGCTCAGAAGGGGAGCAATGAATAGAGAGACTGGAAAGGCAGAGTGAGGCCAAGTTATGAAAGGCTTTACATGACAGCTGGGTTTGTCTAATTCTAGAGACAATGAGGAAATCCCGGAGCTGAGCAACAAGACCATTTCCCTGCATTAATGTACCAGGGCCCCTTCGAATCACTTCTTTTCTAGGGAGTAGTGACATGATCAGACCCGCACTTTAAGAAGCTATTGGAAAATCAACTTGGTGAGGTGGAGAAAAAGGAAAGTCAGCAAGTATTTATTAGGCTTTTTCTATGTGCAAGGTGCTGATAACACAAAAGTAAAAATGACCCTCACGGAACTTACATAGTACTGGGATGACTCGAATACAGAAAATTAAATGCAAAATAAAAAGCATTTTTATGCTTAAAAAACAAATTTAAGTCTCCAGGAAAGAAGTCCACCAACAATGAGAAGTCCATTGACAATAGGGGCAATCAGGGAGCCATCGCCTCCCACCAGCTCAGCCCAAGCTCTGGGACTCACTTGAGGACTTTAACAGGATGCCCCCTCTCCATCACAGTCCAGCAGAGACACCCCCCCCCCCGCCCCGCCCCAAGCACGCCCCTCCCTGCGCAGTCTCAGCCCAGTGTGCCCTCCACTCTCCCTCCCTCCCACTCTCCCTCCCTCCCACTCTCCCCACCAGCCCCCCGCAGTGCGCGCCCCCGCCGCCTCTCTACAGCTGATCCGGGCTCGGGCGCGCCCCCGCTCCCCACCGCCAGCGCGATAACGAACCTTCACAGGCCGAGACCCAGGCCTCAGGCCTCGCGGCCGCTTTCTCCTCCTCTTCCTCCTCCTCCTCCTCCTCCCCTCGCCCCTCCTCCTCGGCGCGAGCCCCTCCGGACCCCAAAAGGTCCATTCCCTTCTCCTCACCGGCCTCCTCACAGAAATCCCAAGCGCCAGTCAGGACCAGCGCCACGAGGCCCTCCGCCGTTACCTGCACCACCAGCTCGTCGTATCGGCCCTCCACGCATGCGCGCCGCCGCCGCAGCTTCAACCTGCGCACGCGCGAGATGGGGAACTCTCACAAACTTTATTGACCGCTTTGCTCACTAACAGCTAGGTGGGTGTTGCACCCCGCCCTCTGTAGCGCCAACAGCGGCCTGGCGCCTTCCTTCCCTAGAGCGGGCGAAAAGGCCAGGGGCTAGAATCTAACTCGTCCCACCCAGAATTCCTGTACATCCGGGTCTCTAGAAATCAAGGAAGAAACGAGCGTGGATAGGGGAGGTGCACGCAACTCAGCCATCAACAAAACTTTATCGCAGGCCGCGGGGGCGGGCTCTATGGAAAAACTTTATTAGGGCCCCTGGCATCGAACAAGGACAAAGCGGAGCGCTAGGGGCGGAGGGAACAAGGGCGGGAGGAAGGGAGGGGCGGAGTGGGGAGCGGCCCAGCGGGGACTGGCGGGCCGCGGGAGCCGGAGCCGGAGCGGGATCCCGACGTGGCCGCGGGGCCTCCCGTCTCCCTTCACTGTCAAGATGCGGTACAACGAGAAGGAGCTCCAGGCGCTGTCCCGGCAGCCGGCAGAGAAGGCGGCGGAGATCGGGATGCGGGTCCCCAAGAAGGGCAGCGGTGAGAGCGGAGGGGCGGCCGGGCCGGAGCGAGGGGGCGGCCGGGCCGGAGCGAGAGGGCGCCCGGGGTGCGGGGGCTCCAGCCCCCCAGGGGCTGCCCATCGCTGCCCCCTGCAGGAGCCCCCAGGGTCTTCCCGGTGTGCTGAGTCTTCCAGGCCACCAGCCTCAGCACCTCCCCCCCAAGAACGCACCCCATCCTGAGTCCTGCCTGCCCCCCTTGTATGAGCACCCCAGGGTTGCCCCTGTGTCCAGAGCCTCCCTAGCTTCAACCCCCCCTCCCTGAGCCCTCCC